TGACTGTTTTTTTAACTTGTGTTTCGGCTTTCTTGCCCTCGAAGTTGTTCTGGTTCTCAGCCAGGACAGAGCTAATTTTTTTGCAGTAACTGTGAGGGAGCATAGTCTGGAGCCATTTGGGCAAGTCTAGGTCATTATTCTGTGTCACCTCTTGTCATTGTCAGGGCAGAAATGAGGGCAGAAATGACGGATTCTTGCTTTCCATTCCCCCAGAAGGGGGATGGCTTGTGGTCAGAAAAAAGAGCACGGGTGAAGAGAGTCTGTCTGCTATTTTGTTCATTTGTGGGTCACACTAGGTCAGCTCTGGCTCAGTGAGGATTTTTTTGCATGTAAATCACCATCTTTTTTGTATACTTTTCTTATTATTACTGTTACTGTTTGTTTTCTTATTTCATTGCTGTTTCCAGTAAATTCTTCTTATTTCAACCTATAACCTGTATCTTTTGTGTCTCCCACCAGAAGAGCAGTGGGAGGAGCAGTATCTGGTTTGGAGGAGTCTTGGTTGGGGAGCACTAAATTTGGGAGTGATGTTCCTGAACCATGACAAAAGCCTCTTAGACCATGTCCTGCACAGAAATTTTGGAGCTGCTCTGATGGTAGTAACCCATCATATAGTTTCATTTTTTTCCTCCCTAGTGAAAAAATCTTTGTCTCACGTAAGGCAAACATTTGCAAAAGGAGTGAGTAAAATGCAACTGATGATAAACATCATTTAGAACTCATGAAAGGTGGTGTTGTAACAGGATATTTTTATACTTATATGAATTTGAGTGTCGTGATTTTTTGGAAGGGTTGGGGTGAATTGCAAAAGTTTGCCTTCCCCAAGGCTCCCTGAGGCAATGAGACAAACTATACATGAGTGACAAGGTATTACTGGTGGGTAAGATCTAACATCTCCAGGGACAGGAGATCAGAGCTTTCTGTATCCTTCTGCCTCCCAGCCAGCATACAGTTCTGTTCTCCTGTATTTAACTCATGTAGCATACTTGTTTATAGTAGCTTATCAAGCTAGAAGGAGAAATTCTTTTAAATTTCTCCTTCTAGCTTGATTTTCTGTGATAGATGGTAATTAGAGAAACTGCCTTTAAATAAATTCTTAAAAAGCTGTTCAGTTTTATGACATATTTCCCTATTTGTGTGCATTTCACTTTTCCCTTGTCTCAGAAAAATGTGATTCCTACTCCTTGATATAAAAAAAAAAAAAACCTGAAAGTAGAAGGTTACCAGATCTGAAAACTTAACTTTGTACTCTTTATTTTTGTTTTCTTTATGTGACTTTTTTTTTAGTTTTGATGTATTAGAAGTTCAAGATGGGGATCTGAGCTGCTCTGCCTCAGTAAAGCTAATAGTGGTTCAAGGCCTCCAGACTCAAGGCATTAAGGCCTATGACTTTCTGGCAACAGGCTACTTTGGGGTGTGGGGCGGGGGGGGGGGGGGGGGGGAGAAAAAAAAGGAAAAGAAAAAAGAAATTAATAAAATTTGGCACTGAAACACAAAATACATGAACCTGTCACAGTAAGCAGTCTCAAAGGGCAAGCTGCTTTGCAGGAGCTAGTTAACCTTAGGAAATAATTACACAAATATGCAAATGTTGTTTAGACAATTCCATGTGTTGTCGACTCAGGTAGTCCATCATAACTGCAGACCTTGCAATGTCTAGGTGTGAATCTGGCATAGTTGATAAGGCTTCAGTTGCTGCAGCGCTCCAACCTCGTATTTAACAATTAACGACTGTGATATTACATTAGTAAATGTAACCTGTTTTTTGAATGCAACAGAATGTAATATTCTATTCACAGTGTGCATACTGCTTATCTGTGTATACCTAATGGCTCCAGCCATTAAAATGTTATATACCTTTGAACTCCTAGCACTAGCCATGCTGGAAAAAATGGCTGACCAAAATCTGAGTTCAGTCCCTCCACGTTCCTACACAATGGATGGCCCAGGAGTAGCCTTGTTTGGATTACTTTGTATTGGATAAACATTGCTCGAGGGCCTTTTCACATCATATGATTCTTAGTCTTTTCTTCCTTTCATGTCTAATTATATTTATAATGATCAAGAGAAAGGGTTTTCAGAGGGGTGGAGACCCAAAACTATGACTTCCACAACTCCAATGAGCCAGACCACTTATTTTGACATAGAATTACCTGCTGCAGATGACCAGCTTTCAGCAGCAGGAAGTCTTAAGTTCAAGTTTTCTTGCATGTGTCCATCTCAGTCTGTTTCACAAACAAGAATGCATTTAGCCTGAGGTGCCTTTTGAGGTACATAGTGTGATTTCTCCAGGCTAATGTCCATTCATTTCTGTACACTTGTATAGATAATTATGTAAATTCTGACCAGGAGACCCCCTCTCTATCAAATAATTTCACAATGTTCTATATAAGTGTATTCAATTTAGCTTCAGTGAAATAACAGAAAGCAACAGCTGCCTGAGACTGTCACCTTTCATGCTGAAAATGCAGCATCCTGTCTCGTAATTTAATCCAAGCCAGGCACTAGAGGTTAAACCTCACAGACCCAGTGCAATTTGAAATTCTAAAGGGATGAGCTGTGCACATCTTCTGCAGCTGGATATTCCATGTACACACCTGGAGCCAGGTCTGAGGTGTTTGTAATATGGGCTTGTTACAAGGGGGGGAAATAAGCAGATGCTCTGAAGAAAGAGCTTTTGTTCTAAGCATATAGGACTCCTCCATACTCCCTCTTACACATATGTGCTTTTTTTTACCTTGTTTAGGGTTTAGCAGAGTGTGCAGCAACCCAGTTTATCCTGACATTTTATGGTTTGGGTTTTTTTAACTGGTAATAAAGGAAGTTACAGTCTATATTTAACTCATTGTAGCTCATTTCTTTTTGCTTTTATAGCATCCTGTTAAGTCTTTGTACTGGACTGTGAAGCTGTGAAGTTATTAATTTAGTTTACTAGACCACTGGTTATGCTTTGATTGGTGAAAGCTTTTTTGAGCTGAGTTCAGAAGCTTTTTGCTGATGTCTTAGTCTTGTGGAATCTAAAATGTGTGCTTTTACCAGCAGTATGTAGAATAATAAATACAAAGTAACCTGAAAATGCTATATTAAGCAGAAAAAATGTTCCTCTTTTTCTCAGATTATTTAAACAGCATTGGGTACCTATACAAAAATTGCTGTTAAAAGTATCACTGGCAACATTGTTATTGAAAAATAAGTACCTCCTGTGTATATAACTAAGATAAATCTTTTAGATGTATTAGGAATTCTGAAACTTTCTCAGTGTTTTAATGTACTTTTTTTCCATACAGATTATAGCGTATATCACTTTTGCACAGGAAACTCCTGTTCAAGTTGTCCTTCAGCTTATCTTAACAACTGGTTTGTCAATCATATTTTCTTTATGTAATTTCTTGTAAAAAGATTCCCTCATTCCTCACAATGGGAGGAGTCTTTACTTTCTGTACCTATCTATACAATCAAATTTCAAAACAGCAACAATAAGTCCTTTCCTGCACTGAGGTAGTTTACAATAGGTGATACAGAATTAGTTAAAACTACGTTCTGTCATAGTCAATGAAGAGCAGAATCTTCAGGAGTAAGAGGAATTCAGGTTTTTCTGTCTTATAATCACTGCTGCTGAAGCAAAAAAGTACATTGTTATTCTAAAAACTTTGAGTCAGGATCCATAAAGATTTGTTGCCATCTCACTCTTACTTAGAAAACAGAGTATGAGAATAGAAATAAAAGCCAGAATCAACTGCATTATTTAGTTGTATCTCTTCCCACTGATTTTAAGCCCTTATAAGAGCTTAAATCCCCAAAACGGATTTGCAGAATGGAATTGAGATCTAGATCACCTCAACATTCTTGATAAATTTCAATAATTCATACTGTGTAATTATCAGCAGCTTTTACTGGTTTATGCTTTCGTTTTCCTAAGGAAACGAGGATTTTCTTGTCTATATCTGAGTTAGCTAAGGATATGAAGTTGTTGCTGTCACAGAGCAAAGGGAAAAGTTATGCAAACTTTAGGAAATTACACGACCTTGACTGATCAATTCTTTCTGTCATTCAAGAGCCTGGAAAGAGCCAACATTGTTATCCTGGTTGTGTGAAATATTGGCAGGGCAGGGTACCTACCAGAGCATCTTATTCTTATCATGTGAGACTAGACCAAATTTGTCATTACAACCTCAACAACCCAAGTAATAAGGAAAATCTAGAGGGGTATAGTCCTTTCCAAGAGCCTCAAAGATACACATACACAACTGTGAATTTTGATGTGAGTGCATTGAAATCAATGTGTGTCACTAGTGCCTTCTGTGACTCCTACACTGGCTGACTTTGACAAGATCTCGTTCAATAGTAAGAAAACATGGTCCCCTAGCTACCAAAAGCTCCAAAGTAATGGCTGCCACCAGTCAAGAGGTGTTTTAAGAGGTGTTTTATTTGCACCATGTGTCACAGTCTGCAGTCACAAAAAAGTAAGGTTTGAAAGAGTAGTTGCGAATACTATAATTTTATTCTTAATTCAGGTTTCCAGTGACTTATAGTATGAAAAAAAGTAAAAATTGAAATTATAGGTCTTTACCAACCTAAATTATTCTACGATTATGTATTTATATTGTTCTTACTTGTTTTTATTTACCAGTCTAAGGCATAAGTACTTTAAACAAACCCTCAGTGAACAAACATTTGACCAAAGAGTTGTCAAAAGAGTGAAAATCTGAGCTGTGGCTCATAATTCCTATGAATGCCTCCATTTAACAGAAATGTCATCATGGTATTTACGCAAAATTTTGCAGATGCATAATTTTGTTATACTTACTAAAGTAAGCTCAAAAAGCAACAGTTTTACTGCCTTTATTTAGACAAAAGAATCTGTTCTCTTTTTGATACTAGTGCGTATTCATTTGATCTTTATTTTAACAAAACGTTCTAACATATAAGAACACATTGCTTTTAGACAGAATTGCCATTTTTTATAAGATAATTGTCACAAACGTAATTTCTTTTTGCAGGATAATGGCTCTCCTGAAGAACATGCAATTTATGTTTGGGACCATTTTATTTCCCAGTCAGCTGCAGAGAATGTGTTTTTTGTTGCTCACAGTTATGGTGGACTTGCCTTTGTAGAGTTGGTAAGTGTGAATTCTCCATTGCCATATTTCCTGAAGACTGTCACAGATTTTCTACATTCTTTGTGATCACCTTCTTGAAAGTAGCTGGGTAGAAACAACTGTGCCAGTGGTCATGTACAGGTTGGTCAGGATTTCTTTGCAAACAGAAGATTGCTGTATCTTTTCTGGTTTTGAGATAGACAGTAAGGTCGCAAGTTTGCATGAACCTGAAAGACTCTGGGGAAACAGAACATTCTGCATCCTTCTTGTCCAGGCTATGTACTGAAAGGCACCAGTTTCTGCTGTGGGACAGAAAGACCTGGGGATATACAAGACTAAGCACATAGAAGAGCAGTTTTAAAGCGAAGTCACAGACAAAAATGCAGTTTTTTGTATATAGATTGGAACTGAACGTGTGGGGAAATATGGCAGTTTTATTCAGTTTTTGCAGTTTTTCTACAAAGATCTGCAGAACTTGCTGGAAGGACTTCTGTTTTCCCATTTATTAGGCTCTGCAGCGATACAAGGTGGGAAAAACTTTGCTCAGTGTAAAGCTGTTATCTGGTGCTGAGACTGCTGAATATCTAGTTTTAAGTCTTTCACTCTAATCTCTGAAGGCAGATCTCTCGACCCCATCTGGTATACCAAGCTGCCTGTTAAACTTGTATACCATTCTGTCAGTGTAGCTACAGTCTTCTCATATGATTTTAAAACAGTAGTGTGATCAAGATATGTTTTATTGAAGAAAACTAAAAAAAAGTAAGGGTCCTGTTTATTGTGGAAAGTTAAATTGCAGAGCATTAGAACTGGTTTTATAGACACAGGAAACAGCAGACATATATGTACATCTTTTGTCTACAACACATTAGTTTAATTTAACTGAAAGTTGATTAAGATGTTTCCTCCCTGAACATAAGATGAATGCCTTAGTTAAGAAAAAGCATGGATGAGCATGTTGGTTTTAGTCTTAAGCAATAACAATCCAGACAATGGCCACTGGTATTATTTTAAGAACTTGAGATTTTCCTAACCCCCTCTTTTTTGTTGTTGAAATTAATGCCATTTGCATTATCTCTGCGGTACTGGAAGAGCATGTGCAAAATATGCATGACATGTACAGGTTTGAGGCTTGAGAAACATTCATTTTCCTGAAGATTGTTTGAGAATTGATCATTTTTCACAGGTATTTTATTGCCTATACAATGAATAGTCTCAAAACTAAATTTTTAAGAGACCTTGAATCTTTCTGTAACCACATCTATGGGCAAAAGATGTGTTGCATTGCATGTGCTGGTTACTCTTGAGATGTCATGAACGTTAAAGAGCAGTTGTTCTGTCTTGGCTTTCCTGAGTTGTGATTTTCAGCTGCTCTGTATTTCAGCCCAGGTTATTCTGGTGTGACTTTTGGGTCCAAAGTAAAGCTTTGGCAGAATTTCTGTAGGTTTTGTAAAGCCTCATTGTTTGGATCGCTAGATGCCCAGAGATACATACATGTAGCAGAGGGCAGGAATAAGAATCAACTAGAGACCTTTCTCATTGTTTCCTAAACTTAGTGCTGACTTGAAGGAGGCTTGGAGAGTTTTTCCATCACATTTCAGACAATGACTTGAGGTGGCCTGGGTAACAGATGACCAAGGTGTCATTTCCATTTTCCCTGTTTTTCTTGTCATGCTGGTGGACATTTCTTCACATTTGTTCTACTTTAATATGAAGCACACTGATTTTTAAGAAGACTTGACTTCTAACCTTGGGGCTTCCAGGGTCAGGGTGTTCAGTGCCTGTGAAATTATCACAAGATAAGTGAAAGTTTTTATCAATCACAGGAACCAACCAGTAAATCAAGAAGAAATATCTTTGTCAGGAAGACAAGATGGTCTCAGTAAGGGTCATCTTCTGTAGTCTGCTATTTCTGCAGGAAATGCATGCCTGAGATTAATAATATAATACATATCCATTGACACATCACATATCTGTCATGCAAAACTGAAATATATTTTTAATGTAACTCAATGTTTTTCCTCAAAAATCCAAGGGTATTACCACCTGGTTTAGGCAGAGGTAATTTGATATTTGAGTACTACTAAAAGCAGTTTGATTAAATAATTCATACATTGAAGGACATATCATTGAAATAAACCTTGAAGTATTTCATTGCAGTATTCATTTTTAAGGTTTTATTTTCTTATCGTCTTCTTTCTCTTAAACTTTATATCCATACAGCACTTAGTAATTGCAATGAACTCCAAAAAGAAACAGAGCAGCTGATGGGCAATTACTGTCTTATGACAAATACATTTTCGATCACTTCACTCTCTTCTCTGATTCATGTGGGGGTGATGATGAGGTTGATAGAGCATCTACACCATATAGCAACTGTACCACCTCTACACTTCCTTTGCAAGTTTTTGGGTTAACTGATTCATGAATTTGTAGTTTACAGTTGTTATGGAGACCTGTTGCACAGCTGCTTCTTCTACAGTCATGCTTCTTAGGAGAGCTGTGTGAAGCATATGGCTTTAATTTGGAGTGGAGGTTTCTGCCTGAGCCCTCTGAATTTCATTTTGCCTGTAGGGAAAAAAAGAAAACAAGCAAAAATATCCAAAAATATTTGCATTTGCAATTAGTATCTTCTTAGTCAACTTTTCATGTTTAGTGCTGGGAGGTCTGTCATGATGGCTTGCAGTCATCTCAGCCACAGCTTGCCCCTTAATCATGGTTGTAGGGTTCCTGGTGGAAGCAGGATGTTCTGGCATTAAACAGAAAAACCCAATGGAAGCTGATTTTAAGCAAAGTCTTGTTCATGGACATCCATACCATTGTGTGGGAGGAGATGCTGCTCTCCCAGGAAGAGGCAGAGAACAACATTCAGCTTTCCACAGGCAGGAGCCCATCCAGGTGCTCCTTTGCCTGAAGCTGCTGAGGGAGGTAGCATAGGAAGGGCAGTGCTGCTCTGCCTTGTGCCTTAATTGACATGCACTTTGTTGAGAAGCACAAAGTGAAAGAGAGCAGATAGGACCATCACATATGACTGGTATAAAAAAAAGATCATTTTTATTTACAAAACTTTAGTGGCCAAATTTTGATCTTCATTCCAAATTCCTTCTCACCATAAAAATAAGGCTGTGTTTTCAAAATCCTTCATTAAAAAAACAGGTAAGGCTTGGATGCAATTTTCAAATACATGCCACATCAAGTAAAATTTTATTGATCTTTGTAGCTTTTGATCTACATTTTCTCATGTCTGTGATTGCAGGATGTTAATACAAATAGGGTGACTCTGCAATATCATGCTCAAATACACAGAAACTGGTAACCAGTTACTGCAACGTAGGCACACATTTTCTGTTCCTTGTTGTGTCATAGATTACTAGGGGAATAATAGAAAGTGATTGAAATGTGTAGAAAATAAAGTTTCACAAATCAATGTGCTAAGTATTTTTGTTCTGTTGTTTATAGGTTGAATTACAAATGGTAAATCATAAGCCATATGTTAGAATGTATCTTAATATTTAGTAATTTAAACTTTGTATAATTGTGGTTTGAAATTAAATGTGTATGTGATAATATCTGCACGTTAATTATTTTTGGAATGCACAACATTAAAAATAATCATTGGGTCATTGTGTTTTGCCAATTGCAAGTTACTGATTTTGAAAAACTCAAGCCATGATTCATGAACACATCTCAGCTTCTTAATTCTTTTATCCCTTGCACAGTGTAGTCAGGGATTTATTTTCAGAATCAGTTTGCTTTACTTGATGGTAAATTGTGGAACTTTCTCAACTCCAAGCTTATAATAATTTTATAAAAGTTAACAGAAAGTGAGAATTTCAAGTTGATGGAGTCAATTTTATATTTAGTTTACAGAAAATAAGAAGTTTCTGGTACAACGCCTCCTTCGAGTTTTTCTGCCAAATTTTATGGATTTACAATTATTTTGCTTTAAAAATAATGTTTTTCCTTGTCATTGCCTGCATGAAAGATCCACACAGAAGAATCTTTGTGGAAGGCTTCTTCCTATATTTCTGCTTGCTTCCTCTATTTCTGAGACCCTAGGCTTTGCATTTTCAGTTGTTTCCTCATAATCTTATAACTAGAGTTACAGCTTTTTTGTTTTAATTTTAGTTAAACGCTATCTTTTAAAAAAATACAAAATATCATGGGAATAATGAAAAAACTGTAAAACTCATTAATGGTATCTCCATCTTACATCATTCATAGTGCTGTAGAAATACGAACTACACAAGGGAATGTAATAATTAAGAGAAGGAAAGTAGGTTGTCTTCAGCAGGTGTAACCTATTCATTATGGTTCTTTTGGCTAAAATATTGGGTATATATATTGAGAATTTGCACAAAGGTGTAGGAAAATGGGGGGAGGGTGTCCTTTTAGTGAGCTTCGTTACAATGAGTGCCCTTAAAACACACTGTTCAAATTACTGTATGCACTGTAGAGTCCTAATTCCATCAAAACTGCAAATGTTGACAATTTAAAATAATTTTAGGTCCATCATTTTGAGATCCTCTCTGCAATACTCTGCCACTTCATTTTGCAGTATTGTGCTGAGTATGGCAAAGACCTGGCCCTGACTGGCACTGATGGGTGCCATAATGATGATAGACAGGCACCTGCTGAGCTACCTGTGAGTCTCTGAGGCTGCATTATTATTCTGGCACCAGCAAAATGCAATTTAAGAAACTTAATAGCTAGGATGTGAACCTGTCATTTGTTTTTCATTAATTTAATTTCCTGAAGTCTCAGACTGAATGGTTTGTTATATTTGGCTTATTATAAATACTTATATAAATAGATCTACTTATTTTTGAATTCAGTTTGCCTGGAAAATTGATGAGTGGGTACTGTGGACATGCAGCTCTTAATTCCCCTAGCTGCAGTGTTAAATCAAAATATGTATACTGGTGTGTGGTAGAGATAACATAAGGTCTGTGATGGCTGTAGGAAGCACGGGAGAGAGCTAGAAGTAGAGAGCTGTGAAGGAAAACACCTCAGTGACCAAGATC